TAAAAATATGTTGATCACACTGAATGCAAAATAAATGATTTGTTATTTTGAAAATGGTGATAAACACATGAACAATTTTGCTAATTTTATTATTTTAAATGGTAAATTCTTCATCCAAAAATGTAGACTTTCAAAGTCTCCTCCTTTATACAAGGTATTTGTCAACGAACTTATTCTGTTAATGAAGTCTCTCAAAGCTGTAAAAAATGTAAAAGCTCTGTCTATTGTAGGCTATTTTGAATCTGTTTTTGGCATCTTGTGGATGTCCTCCATTTTTTTTATTTTTTTTATTTAAATTATCTTTGGAAGTTTTGTTTGTTGTCTGTTTTTGCTGCATTTGTAAATTACTAATGCATAATAATAATAATAATAATAATAATAATAATAATAATAATAATAATAATAATAATAAATGAATACACTCTAAAAATGCTAATTTTTTTAACCCAAAGTTGGGTAAAATATGGACATTAGGTAAATTATTTTTTCATTATATTTAAATTACATTTTTTAGCCCAACAGCTGGGATTGTCCAGTTTTAAACCAACACTTGGAACTGTCCATATTTTAACCCAACAGTTGGGATTCAATGTAGTTGGGATTGCCAATATTTTAAAGCAAGGGATGGGAATGTCCATATCTTAACCCAACAGTTGGAACTGTCCATATTTTAGTCCAACAGTTGTGAAAATTAAAACGAAAATGTTTTTTTTTTTAATTGATCATTTTTTCTTTTGTTTTCTTTAACCATAATAACCTTGTTGCACACACAAGTCTTATTTGTTTTATTTCAGCTAGAATAAAAGAAGTTTTAAATTATTTAGAGACCATTTTAAGGTCAATATTATTAGTTTTAGACTCCTCTAAAGCATAAAAATACCATCATATGTTTGCAAATATTTGAGAAACATGCTAAGTGAACATTCTTGTTTATCTGAAAAACATTTCTGAAGTCAGATATTCTGCTTTGGAAATGTGCTTTACATGTCTTTGTTTTTGGTTCTTTTAACCCGCGCACTGCCGTTTTAGCCAAGTATATTTCAACACCCAGGGCTGCCTTGGTGGACAACCTTGTATTTCATTCATTAAGTCAGGAAGGCTCTCAAAGTAAGTGTTCACGACCGAAATGCGACTCCTGGTGGATTGTAGCAGACTCTGAAATGAGACGCAGATTCAGAGTTCAACATGAGGTGGTTAGTAGTCCAGTTTTAAACCAAATATGGGATTGCCCCTATTTTAAAGCAAGGGTTGGGACTGTCTATATCTTAACCCAACAGTTAGAACTGTCCATATTTTAGTCTAACAGTTGTGAAAAAGAAAACGAAAATGTTTTTTTTTTTCAACTGTAGTTTTCATTTTTTCGGTTACTATAATAACCTTGTTGCAAACACAAGTCTTATTTGTTTTATTTCGGCTTGAATAAAAGAAGTTTTAAATTTTTTCATAAACTATTTTAAGGTCAATATTATTAGTTTTGGTCTTTTCTAAAGCATAAAAATACCATCATATGTGTGCAGATATTTAAGAAACATGCTAAGTGAACATTTTAGTTTATTCAAAAAACAAAACTAACGTTAGTTATTCTGCTTTGAAAATGTGCGTTACGTGCCAGAACGTCTGTCTTTGTTTTGGTTCTTTTAACCAGCGCACTGCCATTTTAGCCAATTATATTTCAACACCCAGGGCAGCCTTGGTGGACAACCTCGTATTTCATTCGTTCAGTCAGGAAGGCTCTCAAAAAATGTGTTCACTACCGAAATGCGACTCCTGGTGGACTGTAGCAGACTCTGAAATGAGACGCAGATTCAGAGTTCAACATGAGCTGGTTATAATTAGTCCAGTTTTAGGATTGCCCTATGGGATTGCCCATATTTTAAAGCAAGGGTTGGGAATGTCTATATCCTAACCCAACAGTTGGAACTGTCCATACTTTAGTCCAACAGTTGTGAAAATGAAAACAAAAATGTTTTTTTTCAATTGTAGTTTTAATTTTTCGTCAACAATAATAACCTTGTTGCACACACACATTATTATATCTGTGTGTGTGTGTGTGTGTGTGTGTGTGTGTGTGTGTGTGATTTTAGTATGTGGCTGAAGTTGTCAAAAGTCTCCCTGGACTAATTCTGATCTATCTAATACAAGATAAGAGCCAATATGCACTAACAAATACACTTTCAAGAGTTCACCCTTGCCGATGATTGATTATAAAGCATAGCAGGCTGTCCCGGGAGAGAGCCCTGAGTTCGTGAGATCCTCAAGCTCGGGGCTCCCTCTTGTTGCAGGGCGAGAGGGGAGTCTGAGCTCAGGTAGGTCTCGGGAAATCCCCTGCTTGATTATGAATTGCCTATGGAAATTGTGTGCTGAATCCATCGCTTGCCTATAATGACAAATTAATTTGTCATTTTATTTATGTTAAATGTTTTGACCTGTGGGAGTAAACCGGAGTGCCCGGGGAAAACCTACGCAAACACTGGGAGAACATGCAAACTCTGTACAGAAACGCCAACCTGGCCAGGTAAGGTCTGAGACAGTGACGTTCTTGCTGTGTGGCAATGATGCTAATCATTGGACCTCCGTGCTGCCCTAATAAAAAAAGGGGAGGACTAGGGGTGGAAGGAGGGATTCTTCAAGACAAAGATGGCTAAGGTAAGATGCTTTGGTTATTCATAATGATTTAGGAATCGTCTGATTGGTGGATCGTGCGTTAACGAGGATCAGCTGCTATCAATCACAAGCACAAACTCCTCTCGAAATTAGTTTATAAATAAGCTTTACTTATATGCATTAACCAATACACCTTATATGCATTAACATATATGCACTATATCACTATAACAAAGTATTGTGCAAGGAATCAAGCAAAAATAAGCCTTTCACTAATGTTCATTTCAGGCTGAAAATTGCTGTCAGATGCATATGATTACTTTTTGGGGGGATAAAAAGATGCAAAAAATGTAGATGGGGCATATTATGGTTACTAAAAGTGATCCTTAAGACTAAAACCCACCAAATATTTGACATTATTCATCATTTTCATCAATTCAGGCCCTGGGAGATACTCTATAACCTTATAAACCAAAAATATGTTTGGTTGCTCCGCAAAGGCCAAACATGAGTTAAAGCCTGCAATGCCACAAAAACTCTCAGGGACAAGTGCCAAGGTACAATTACAAGAGGAATTTCTGACCATCTCACAGCCCAAAGGTCTTAAGCACGGGAGGATCTCTTAAAGAGAAACATATGGAGGCTAGATTAGATTAGAGACGTTCCTGAGCATTCTCCAGCGTGGTCTACAAACACACAGTTTAACACCGTGCCGTAACACACTCGTAGGAAAATGCAATGGTTTGAGCGGAAAATGCGATTTCACAGTCTTGGTATTAAAACAATCCCAGCATACACTCTTGTTTTTGTCCCGAATAACAATGGTGCGAGCTCTCGCTCAATGAGCGCTTGACCAGATTTCTGTGCGCTTAGCACCAAATAAAGATTATTCGATTTGCTCTTGGATCATATGATGAAGAGCTAGGTTGCAAAACAGTCAAACTAAGCTGATCTTTTAGAATCTAGAGCACAGAAACAAGGGTCATAGTTTATAATAAGACTGTTAGTTAATGTACAGTTGAAGTCAGAACTATTAGCCATTTCCCAAATGATGTTCAACGGAGCAAGGAATATTTCACAATATTTCCTAAAATATTTTTTCTTCTAGGGAAAGTCTTATTTGTTTTATTTCAGCTAGAATAAAAGAAGTTTTAAATTATTTAGAGACCATTTTAAGGTCAATATTATTAGTTTTTGACTCTTCTAAAGCATAAAAATACCATCATAGGTTTGCGGATATTTAAGAAACATGCTAAGTAGGGTTGTAACAATATACCGGTATGACGGTTTACCACGATTTGAACGTGCACGATTATCATACCATGAACAATTGCATATCAACGGTTTTAACCCTTAAAGACCGAGACAGCCGCCCGCGGCTAAAAATAAGTATTGCTCTTAAATGTTTAATAACTTTTGATCCGCTGATCCGATTCATACAATTCAAAGATGGGCATAAAGAAGAGAATCTCAGCTTTCCAGTGCTGTATCACATAACATTCGCGGACTTTCAGAGGCTCCGGAATCAGTGCGGTTACGTCATCAACATTTGACAACGCTGATTTGACAAAGAAACGCTCGTCACTGTGTCTCCGGACAAATCAGACATAATACATTGATGCATTATCCCTCCTCCATGCCCAGATTGGTTCAAACTCGCTATATCACAACCAATAAGCATAGGTTTCACTTTTGTTTGTGGACCAAGCTTTTTGAACAACACGGAATGAGAGATAGGCATACATTTATGCGCGGCTAAATAAAACGCAAAAAAAAAAAAAAAGTTTTTCATGAAATAATTCTCATACTAAGTACTTTTGCATGCACAGCAGCACAGAAACATGACAAAACAGTGACACAGCAAAGACGAACTGCTGCTCTTGCTGTTTTCAAAAGACGCAAATGAAGATGCAGCTGTTTGTCTGCATTGCAGACAACCATATGCATATCCATAGACAACCATATCCATGCTGGCACATAAAACCTAAGGATGTTCCATATTGAATCTAGTTTCGTTATGTAACTATTTATAGTATAGTAAATATTTATATCTATTTTTTACTGAGGATTTGCACCATGTTTATTTGGACTTTATTTGGACTTTGACACATTATTTATTATTTTCTTATTTTTATTTGTTCATTGTAAGTGGTGTTGTTTATAGTAACTAAAAATATATTATTTGGAAAAAGTCAAATTTGCTTCACTGTTCTATTATTTTGTAACATTTGTAACATACCGTATACCGCGAAACCGTCAAACCGTGGTATTGTTTTAGACGATTATCATACCGTAAAAAAATTCATACCGTTACAACCCTAATGCTAAGTGAACATTCTTGTTTAGCTGAAAAACAATGCTGAAGTCAGTTATTCTGCTTTGAAAATGTGCGTTACGTGCTGGAACCGATGTCTTTGTTTTGGTTCTTTTAACCCGCGCACTGCCAGTTTAGCCCATTCTATTTCAACGACCAGGGCTGCCTTGGTGGAAAACCATTACGTCAGGAAGGCTCTCAAAGTGTTTGTTCACGACCGAAATGTGACTCCCGGTGGACTGCAGCAGACTCTGAAATGAGAGGCAGATTCAGAGCTCAACATGAGGTTGTTAATATGTAGCAACTACTATAAATATTACAAACGTAAATAAGTAAACAGCCATTCAGAAGCACAGAATAGTGCACTCACTGTACTCCAACAAAACGGTAAAGTTTATTATCTAACTAATACATATTAAACCTCTTTAACATTACTAACTGCACATGCTGAATCACTGATATGTGTTGGCTTGCACTGAGTCACAGGTCTAAATTTGTTTTATGAAGCTGAGGTGAATTATTTGCTGCTGCTTTCAGTAGGGGTGAGGCAGTGGCGCAGTAGGTAGTGCTGTTGCCTCACAAACTTGCTGGATAAGTTGGCGGTTCATTCCGCTATGGCGACTAGGGCTGTGCAACTAAGCGAAAATCCGATTTCGATTTCGGCTTTTAACGATTATGAAAAACCATTAATCGAGATAAACGATTATTCCATCACATACCGCCCCCTTTCAGTTGTACATGTGTGAAAACTCTTTACCTCTGCAAAGCAAAGTTCCACATGAAAATGACTAAAAGCATGTGCTGTAATGTAACTTTTGTAGCACAATTCATATTTTTAAAAGCGCAAAAGAGCACTTGCTTTTGTGTGTGTGTGTGCGCCGTGCTTAGCCTCGTACAGGTAGTGCGTGTGTGTGTGTCTGCGCGCGCGCCTCGCTTAGCCTCAGACTGCAGAGCACACACACATCTAACGCGATCTTAATGTGAGCGCTTTAATGGTCAAATACATGCAGATTTGTGTCAGAGCGCGGTGTTTAGTGATTATTCATATTAACCCTTTGTGTAATAAACAAACAAGTTGTGAATCAAAAGACACGAGAAAGAGAAACCATATCAGAGCCGCACTATTCTTAAAGTGACAGTGCACGTTATTCTTGCTGCTGCCGACTGTTTTTATTATTAATCAATAATAAAATCAAAAATACAGTGAAGATGCTTAAAGCACAGTTTAAACATAACAGATTTAATAACTCATTTCTAATAACTGATTTCTTTTATCTTTGCTATGATGACAGTACATTATATTTTACTAGATGTTTTTCAAGATACTAGTATTCAGCTTAAAGTGACATTCAAAGGCTTAATAAGGGTAAATAGACAAGTCATTGTTTAACAGTAGTTTCTTCTGCAGACAATCAAACATATATATTGCTTAAAGGGGCTAATAATATTGAGCTATTAAAATAGGTTTCAAAATATTCAAACCTGCTTTTATTCTAGCTGAAATAAAACAAATAAGCCTTTCTCCAGAAGAAAAAAATATTATAGGAAATACTGTAAAAAAAAAAACTCTGTTAAATATAATTTGGGAATAAATTCACAGGAGCACTAATAATTTCGACATCAACTGATAATCGTTTTGAATAATCGTGATTACAATTATGACTAAAATAATCGTGATTATGATTTTTCCCATAATCGAGCAGCCCGAATGGCGACCCCGGATTAGTAAAGGGACTAAGTTGACAAGAAAATGAATGAATGAATGCTTTCAGTAGTATGGCAATAAACGTCATGTACAATGGCATTCAAACTCCCATTATTAGCATTTAACACTGAATATAGCACATGAGGTGCACCCGAGGGGATCGATGTCCGTTTATCCTGTTGTTAAGCTGCAAGAAACAGAAGCCGTTTCTAAAATATAAATGTCAGGTGTTGGTTAGGACAAAAACTGCTTTTAGTATGGAAAATATTTTTTCTATCGTGTTGCCCTTAAGTTATTGTAATTATGATCATTTCCAGAGGTACAGCATTGTATTTTTATTTTACTTATTTCAATAACTTAATCAGGTTTCAACTAATGTTTTAGTTATACAAAGTTTAACTTAATATTATGGTCATTTTGATTGACCTAAGTTTAAATTTTCATTTGATTTAACAAAAAAAAAATAATAATAATAAGACAATAAGTTTTTTTTAATACATTGTAGTTTTTTTCCCTGAAAATGTTTGTATCTTTCTTTGTTAGCAGTTTGTATGTAGCTGTTTAAAGTAAAATAAAATAAAAATTCCCTATAAATATGTATAGAAATATAAAACTACACCAATCAACAACAAAACAAATGTTCGCTGTATGCTTCATTTTTTTCTGATGCTACTTTGATGATCACAAATGAGTTTATAAAATAACTGTTGTAATAATTTCAAATTAATGAGTGAATCATTTGAGTTGATTCATTTCAAAGAATTGAACAAACTTGTTCAAACTACTTAATTAAAATGAGCTGAAACAACATAATTATTGAGATTTGTTTGGGACAACTTAATTGCTTTATGTTTGTTCCACTTCAGTTAAGTTAATCCGTTTGTGTTAGGACAACACGAATGACCTGTGTGCATTTTTTACAGCGGACAGTTCTGATGCGTCTAAAGTGCATTGATCCTGTCGATGTTTGTGTGGGCTGATGTACGAATCTTAAAGGTACAACTTAAGTAGCTTTCAGCCCACCAACTCAATCACTAATTGCGAACTGATCTCGAGTTCACTAAAGTTCCTCCAGGATTTGTCTGCGGATTAAAATCAAGCTGTTGGCATTTGTCAACTAAATCCTGCAAGTACAATCGAGATCCAAATAATAACAGATGCAACAACCTAAAAACGTCCAAGATGTATGAGAGCTCCACATGCTGCAGACGCACACACAAAAGTGCATAAAAACATATCTGAAAGCTTATCTCTGCTGTAACTCATAAATCTCTGATGACTGAAGAGATCAATCTACAGCTAGACAGATTCATAGTGGTGCTTTCACATACAGTTGAAGTCATAATTATTAGTCCCCTAAATTATTAGACCGCTTGTTTATTTTTTCCCCAATTTCGGTTTAACCGAGAGAAGATTTTTTCAACACATTTCTATATTTTTGAAGACACTACTATACAGCTTAAAGAGACATTTAAAGGCTTAACTAGGTTAATTAAGTTGACTAGGCAGGTTAGGGTAATTAGGCAAGTTATTGTATAACAATGGTTTGTTCTGTAGATTATCGAGAAAAAATATAGCTTAAAGGGGCTAATAATTTTGTCCCTAAAATGGTTCATAAAAAATTCAAAACGGCTTTTATTCTAGCCGAAATAAAACAAATAAGTCTTTCTTCAGAAGAAAAAATATTATCAGACATACTGTAAAAATGTCATTGCTCTGTTAAACATCATTTGGAAAATATTTAAAAAAGAAGAAAAAAATCGAAGGGGGCTAATAATTCTGACTTCAACTGTATATACATTTGCAAGCAAGGTACTTTTTTGGTCCTGTTTTTATTGCCAGGGTGTATTTTGTTTTGTACATTTTGGTTGTTACACTGTAAAATGTGTTTCTTTAAAGTTTTCAAAATGAAAACAAGATTATTTTACATACCCCACTGGCAGATAATTTAGCTTTTCTATGGAAAAACTGACTTAATTTTGAATGATCATTTCTGAAAATAAAGCTAGATTTTTCACTAGTCAAGAAAATGCTTCCTGATTTAAGAATTTTTAGATATTTGGACTAGTCCAAATATACACTTAAGACTTAAAAAATACAAAAATACACTTCTTTTTTTTTGTTTTATTGTGTTATTCACTCAAACAAAAAGATGTTTGCTGCTTGTTCAACCATCTTATTTAAAATGAGCTGAAACAACACAAATCTTGATTTTTTTTATGTTCAATCCACTTCAATTTGTAAACTAAAAAGTGAACTTAATTCCTCCATGTTGTCACAACACAAATCGATTGTGTGGATCCCAGCATTTTTTACAGTGTCGTCTAAAAGTCTTCCCACAAGAAACTACTGTGAAGTGTCCATTAAATATTTCATCAAATAAATGTAAATAGAAATAAGCTAATATTAAATAAGAACAATTTAATTGTTTACAGCATAGATAGTTCAACAGGATACTTCATAGCTGATTATATAAATAATCAGTCAGTTGAGATTCACTATAATGAACCTTGCATACAGTTGAGGTCAGAATTATTAGCCCCCTTGTTTATTTTTTCCTCAATTTCTGTTTAACGGAGAGAAGATTTTTTTTAAACACATTTCTAAACATAATAGTTTTAATAACTCATCTCTAATAACTGATTTATTTTATCTTTGTCATGATGACAGTAAATAATATTTGACTAGATATTTTTCAAGGCACTTCTATACAGTTTAAAGTGACATTTAAAGGCTTAACTAGGTTAATTAGGTTAACTAGGCAGGTTAGGGTAATTAGGCAAGTTATTGTATAACGATGGTTTGTTCTGTCGACTATCAAAAAAAAATCTAATAATTTTGATCTTAAAATGTTTTTTTTTTAAATTGAAAAATTATTTTATTTTAGTCGAAATAAAACAAATAAGACTTCCTCCAAAAGAAAAAAATATTATCAGACATACTGTGAAAATTTCTTTGCCTTGTTAAACATCATTTGGGAAATAAAATATAAAAATAAAAAAATGCAAAGGGGGGCTAATAATTCTGACTTCACCAATATACAGTATTTCATTTTATTTATTTATTTATTGATTATTTTATTTTCCATTTATTTTCCTTGACTTAAAGTGCTACAAAAATATAAACATAGTTTATAGCAAGAAATAAGCAATATTAAAAAATGAAAAATTATTAAACATACACAAGTCCAGCAGGAAGCATTAAAAAAAGATCAAATCAAAATAATTGAAAACATGCTCATGTCCAGAGTTAAGAATTTCTTAAAACAAGGTTTGATTATTTCTCTTGATAGAGCATTAATTGTGGAGCTGAAAAAGAGAAAGCTTTACGACCAATAGAGCTTCATTTATAAACAGACTGCTGAAGAATTCAGTTTATTCACGACAACTTGCTTTTATTATTGGTATTATTTAATATATCCATATTTATATTTGTTTTATTAGAAACAAGCTTAGGTTAGTCCACCAGTCAGGCTTTGGACCATATGGGGCACAAGACGTGGCTTTGGATATAACTCCAACTTCGTTATTATTGTTAATTTATTCG